GAAGGGATTTAGTCTATCAGAAATCAACTCCAGAGATAAGCTTCAAATGCTGGGTCCAGTAATTCCAGGTGTTCTCAAAGCCATATTAGCGTCACAAATGGAGAGGATTTTACCCTTCCCCACATCCTGTTTAAAGAGCAGATGTGGGGGCTCCCTGGACCCTGACAGGCAACTCTTTGTTCCCAGTTGAATGGAGGGCGTCCAAGCCTCCCACTAAAGAAAACGGGGTTTCTCTGTCCCAGTTGTGTTATGAAGGAAAGAAATTGCTAATTGCTTTAGGGGGCAATTCCCAATGAGAGTGATCAAAGTTACCAACATCTCCACAGGTTTGACAGTTGGTTCGTTTGAAGGTGCGTTTTGTTTTTCTCTCAAGCCCAAAATTACAAGTGAACGAATTTTTGTAAATAACATCTCTAAGATTGAAGATCTGTTGATGAGAATTAATTTGGCTTGGGCTTTAAATTGTCTCATGCCATCTACTCATAAAGGAGTATCTGAAATCACTAACTGAATGCAATCAGATCATTTTCTTGCACAACATTCCCATTTTTTCTTTTGCCATTTTATTGAGAAATACAGCATTTATTCCTTTTGCTGGTTCTTTAACAAATCTTAATACTGGATATTAACACCTGTTTACTTAGATTCCAGAGAGCATGCAGAGGATTCCCTAGAAGGTTTCCTGAAGCAAAGATTCAGAAAAAGAGTTGTTAATTCAAAAATAGAAATTTTCAAGCTCCAGGGGGACTAATGAGTAATAATATACAGAAAACCTCAAACCAACTGATTTTGGAAACTTTGCATAGAACTAAAATTCTAAGAGAATTGAACAGGAGTCTCTAAAATACTAATTTTTGGTATAATCTCACTGAGAGATATGATGAAGATAATAAAAGGAATAAAAACCTGTATTTTCATGCTCCTGAAACGGAAAGGTTCATATTGATTCCTGCTCTTTGAGGGTAATAAGACAGGATATATTTATTGGTATAACTTATTGGATAATATGGTCATTTATTGGAGTTCTAAAACAGCATGATTTGCTTATTATATGCCTATAACATATATGCACTGAGTAAAAAGGCACATTTTAAGTACATGTGCAAAGAATTGTTCCAAAACTAATTATTCCTACAGAATACAATTCCATTTGGATTTTTTAAAGTGTACTTTAACAATGGCTTTAGAGTATTGAGATAAACAAATTTCATGTATGTCACATCAATGTGTTATTTCATATATTGTGCAAATGAGTAATTTGCAGCCTAAACTCCTTCACAGGTTTGCTCCCAGTGCTGTACACAGCAGGTCACTGCCAGTACTGAAAAGTTTTGCTGCAGTTTAACAACTCCAATTTTCAGTCACACAACGCTGCAACAGCGACAAGATTATGAGTTTTCTTTGCCATTCCGTTTACTGGGAAACGTTTTACTCAAACCATATTGAAGACCAGCAGTAAGATCTGATTAAAGAGTATTCTTTCTAGCTTTCACTCCAGCTTAAATAAAAACACACAGGTCATTGCTTCAGAAAGCAAACTCCAAGTGAAGGACAACAAAATACCACTGAAGGAATCTGTTACATTCAGCATGGTTCTGATACTCTGCTGACTTGCATTACCTGTTTGATACATGAAGAGCCTGAAAGCTGGGGTTTGGAAAATTTTAAAAGTCACCATGACAAATTTTAACATTAAAAACATCAATGTGTTGCAGATGTTAAGCCATTTCTACTAGTCAAGCAGAATATTTTGGCTGTTTAAATCCTTCAAGATAGATGGTTTAAAGAAATAATCCCAGTTCTCCAACTGCAGAGGTGGAGAGGACCTGGCTGGGACCAAGGCAGCTCATACCACAGTTAATTTTTTCTGCCTTTTTTTTTTTTTTTTTTTTTTTTTTTTTTTTTTACCTTCTAAGCTTTTTTCCCTTTTTTGACAGTTGCAAAACGGGTGAATGACACTAAAAAACACTGACACTTTCATTCGGCAACTCCACAGATCTCTAACCAGAAGCCGCGGACAATCCACCGATAAAGACAACGGTACTGTACTTAACAGGTACTTAACTTTTCTATCTACTCATCTAGTCCTAGGAGTCACTGGGGGTTAATCTACATTTACAGTCCATAGGGTTAGGGAGTGCTTCAGAGCAGCCTATGCCGCTACATCACTCATTTCTTTTAAGAGCATTTCACAAATCTGTGTAGTCAGAATTACAAATTCCCAGGACAAGGAGTGACCACGTTGTCTGATTCGGATTTTTTAGTTAATAACTAGGACTGTTTGTAGTTAATAGATAAGTATCACGTGTGGGGATGACAGCAACAGAAACCATGTATGGTAATAGTAATTAAGAAGATACACCAACAAATTTCTTATGAAGGATATGAAGATCTTTGTTGCTTCGGGAAAAACAAGGGCTGAATTAGACTATGATTTATTCCGTGGTTTCAACTTAACTTCTGTTTTTCACCTGACACTCAGAAATTATCTACAGTGATCTAAGTAAAAGTACGATATCAAGGAAATATCTGTTCAGCTCTTCTTGTTAATTTATAACCTTACTTAATACCAATTTGCAGAACTTTTTTTCATTCAGTACAAAAATACTCTGGGTTAGATTTCATAGAACTCGTTCTAACCATTTTAAAACATTTGCCCAGGTCCATGACACGAATGTTGCAGATAAATACCATTTAGACAGAAGGCAGTTAATATATTGAATATATTATTGATATATAATATATATATTGAATATATTGAATATATATATTAAGATCAGAGAAGACCTTATACATGCTCTACTGGACTGTGTAAGCTGCCTCTATGATAATTCTCTTTTCTCTGATTAAGAACTTATTTTGCAAGAATTTCAGTTTTCCTTTGGTCACAGCAGTATTTTCCCCTCATACAGAGATTTTCATCCATTGACTAATAAAATTACATAGATGCAGGTGTTAAATAGTAGTTTCTGCAAGCCTTCAGTAACACAAGTTCAAATATATATTAATTGTTGCCTTAATTTTCTTTTTCAGGTATAATTTACCACAACTGCCAATCACACAACAATTGCTCATGTTGGTAGGCATGTCAACAATTGGCATAAAATAACTTCCATTACCCCTGAAAAGTGTATTCTATAATTACCACGAGGAAAGAATTCCTGTAATTTATTTTCCATGGTATGATTAAGTTGAAGAGACAGAGGCAACTTAGTGATTATTAATAATTTCATTTTTATACAGTCTGAACAAACACAAAGAACATTTCATTTCTCTGTTAACACAGAAGTTCATGAATTTTCACTTCCACCTTCAAAGTTCTGCTTAAATTTTGCAAATGTGTCTTTAGATAGGGAATCATTTACCAGTTAAATGTCTATATTGAATAAATTGTTTATTCTCTTTGCCCCTTCTCTTCCAGTAAAAGAAAATTGCAATTATACGTAAGAGCCTGAAAACAGGAAAAACTACCACTTTGCCAAACCCACCTATATTTATCCATAGCAATAACAATGCACAGTCTGTTATGGGATTTTCTTCTTGTGCATTATTTATAGGTAAAAATAAAAAATAAATTTTCACAGTTACAGCTTATTTACATTATTTTATTCTATTTTTTAAAATACCAACATAAATAAAGCAAATCAAAGCATAAGGTTTCACAGATATATAATTCTTTATTATTAACCTACAGAGACAGAGTAGCAACTGCAGTTAAGCTGCTTTGCTCCTTCAACACTGCAGGGTCCAAGAATTTGGGGCAGGGGGCAGTGTCAAGCCAAAGCACTAAACGATTAAAGAAAACCCATCATTTAACATAATGTGAGTGAATTGGCCCACTACCACACTCCAGCACAGACAAAGCACTTTTAATGCATTCTAACAGTATGCACAGAATTTGATGTGTTCTTTCTAAAGCTTCCTTCAATGCCTCACCTTTGAGGGCCTATATAAAGTTTTTGCCACTAATCTAACAAAAAATCTTTTAAATAATGCACATAAATAATTTCTTAAATAAAACATTATGTAATTGCAGTGGCCCTTCTTAAAAAGGAAATAAAAGGACTTAACTGCTTAATTAAAAAAAAAAAAAAAAATGCACCAGAAAAATACACTTTGAAAGTACACCTATTGAACAAAACCAATAAATAAATAAATATATTTATAACATTTTTTATATTTCCAAATTGTTTACACTAATTCATGTTTTTAACAGATCTCTAAAGGAAGCATGATTCCCTATGGCTTCCTGGTCTCACTAGCAGTGTTCTCCCACAGCCCTGTAGCTCAATGAGCCTTGCCAGAGACTGCAATGAGCATCCTTAAAAATAGAGAAAAGTTTGTGACTTCTCCTATCTAGGGCATTTAAATGCCAGCACTATCAAGCAGACACCCTAGGACCCAGGAAGGATAAGAGTATGTTGACAACAAAGGAAAAAAGAGATAAGGCCTTTGGTGCCCACTCCCTTGACCTAACAAAAACCCAGGGCTTGATATTGGTCTCCAGGTCAAAAATAGACTGTCTGCATCTGAAAGCAGCAGAGAACATTTCCACAGTTATCTCATTCTTAGTCATTTTGCAAAGCACATTAGGCACTTCAGAAAAAACAGCACCCATATCTGCTGCGGAATCATTTGGGAACAACTCTGAATGATATTTAAGAAAAAGCACGTTTTTCAAGAGAAATTAAGAACAATAAATCCTACCCTGAAGTCCTTTCTCTTGTACATTATGCTTTCAAACAGCTTCACCAAACCACTACTATCCCATTCCACTAAAAATTAAAACCAAAACACACAGACCTCCTTCTGCCTTTTTTACTCAACACAATATCCCACATTGAAAGCACAAATGCTTAACAAAAGATTGGAAAGCCACACAGCAGTGTGATACAATGTGTTCTCCTTCTTATCTATCAAGGAAAAAATAGAATTAACTTAAAAAGTTATTCTAAGTAATTTGAACAAACCAATATCATCAGGTCAAATGAATACACTACCTTTTCTGATTCATTATCTTTGTTTTTGCGTTTTTCCTCTCATAAAATTTTGTCTGCTTTCCTCTGATAGAAACTCAGTAATTCCCCATGTTCTGGCTGAGCACTCCTGTGAGTTCACACGGTTCAACTGCTTGTGTTGTCCAAGCCAGTATAGCTTAAATCCCAGTCAGCCAGGAAGCCAGGCAGATAAGCACTGGCCTACGGAAAATTTATCTTTTGAAAAGGAACAGGGTACTTGAAACAGAACTTAAGGCCAGGACAATCTGTAAATTAATGTAAACTAGAGTTTGTAAATGTATTGAACAAGATTATCTACCAGCTTCCACTAGGTGCTTCAAGTTAAAAATCAGTTCATTTTATCTAATTCGAATACACAGATTTTCATCCACACTTCCTCCACTACAGAATTTCATCATTTAATAATAAAATTAAATAAACCAGATTCTGAGATATGCAGTTTGATTAATAAAAAGGTGGTGAAATGCTTTTTAGATGAGACATGCAGATTTCCTTGCAAACCAACAGAACAAAAACATTTTCCGGTGGAAGACTCTCGCATAAGAAACTTTTTTCTTCTTTTTTAAGGAAAATCTTCACTTTTATTTTAAAATTGCATATTCTAAAATTGTCTGTTCTATAGACTGAGTACTGACAGTTTTCCAATATGATACACAAACATATATTTCATATTGTGCTTTAAATTCAGTATCAGAAAGCTTTAGAAAGTAATTAATATTTGCCTTTCAAAATCTTCAGGTATAATGAAAACCTAAGGCATTGAATAGTTGCAGAAAGAACAAAAATTTCATTAAATCAAGGGGGGAAATTATGTGTAAATAGTAACTGAAAGCACAGGTATTATTAAGTAGCATTTAAACTAATCACATTTGACAAAGTATCAGTGCATAGGGCAGAACAAAACCACTCACTAAACCAATGAAATTAACATTATTGAATTACATTTCTTCTTGAATGTGACTTCCTCTTATTTAAAATATTTGTATTCACAAATATGAACTAAATAAAATTACTGAATTCTATCCAAGCCTAAGCTAAAAAAAAAGTCATTTAATGTTAAAAAAAAAAAGTTTGTCCAGTATATACTCTAAAAAATAATTCAAAATACCACTAAGGAGATCCAGACATGCCTAAATAGCTTTCAGTATATAAATTAAACAAAATTCTAAGCTAAATATTATTATATATGTTTAGTTTAGAAGTGATAAAGAATTTGACCTGCCTGTCTCCAATCTGAGATTCTAACTCCACAGGAATTTCTTTTGCCAGAAAAATTAACTCTGGCTTTTGGAAGAGGGTTTTTCCAGTGACATGCAATTTTCTTGATGGAATTCAAATAAAAGCATGTGGTCTCCTTCTCCACTACATATATATCCAAGAATGGGAAACATTTTAGATTTACTCATAAAGTATCAGCTTCTTGAGCTAATGATTTCATCTTCTATGCTCCAGATATCTAGAGAACAAGCACAAAAATGGGACATTTCTGCAGTTGTCTTTGAGGGAAGAAATGCACTGATAGAATAAGCAAGAATTAGCTACAATATGAACAAATGTGGAACATTATTTTGTTAAATCTAAATAGAAAATATTTAATTGCAGTAAAACTGATGTGCCACAGTATGTTACTGTTGACCAATGGAGGAAAATAAGTGAATTTCCATTTCGCTTGTCCCATTCACATGGCAGCTGCATATCATTTCCCACTAACCTACTCAAAAGAGTCTCTGCATAGGACAAGACTTCCAACAAGGATGGTTATTGGTTTGATCTTATCTATTATCAATGGCAAATAAATAAACAATACAGTTTGATATCCTGTTCTACGATTTCTGAAAAAAAAAAAAAAATCTGTAAGTAGAACAAAAGACCATGTCCTGTGACTGCTTCATAAAAGACTTTCTCTTTAACAAAAAAAGGGCAAGGTTAATATGCACAACCTGATGTTTAATGACTAAAGTGACTTATGCAGGATAAATGGTTTATGGTTTGCTCTGTAGCTTTTCTATAAAAGTTACAGTTTGACATGGCGGATTTAGATAAACACAGCACCTAAGAAACAACGACAAAATACAGTACTGTACTACTGATCAACAAAAATTGCCTAATTTGGGTTAATTAGAAATTGAGAGCTGAGATGGGAAGAAAAATGTAGTTAAGAATTTTAAAGGAACATTTGCATAATTAAAAAAAAATCTCACTTATATCTGAAAAAATTTTTAACGCATTTGTGCTAAAATGATCCTGTAGTACTGATGCAACTGAATAGATGCATGAAAGTATTTTAACCATATTATTCCTAAATAATTTACTTCTAGACAGACAGTTTTTACACTGACATGCAACTTTCCTCTTTTAAAATTGGAAGATGATGGCAAATACACAAAAAGCAGAAGAGAAGTAAAATATTTTTAAAACTATGTCTTTTGATCAACTGACGTTCCTCCTGGCAGTACTACTTTAAAGTGCAATGGAATTTTAAAAACTGTCCTATGATATCCAAATCAAACTCAGGGTATCTAACAAATTTCTCAAGTTTCTATGACTAATAGTGTATCACAGAGTTGATAGTTATAGGCTAAATGTGATCCTGACCTTTTGCGCTCACGGCTGCGAGCCCTGCAGTCTGTGCACTGAGCCAACACAAAATCTATGCTTACAGCAGCACTCTGCACACCAACAATCCTCCCAGGCAGGATCCCCACTCACTTTATAGCCTCTTTAAAATACAGCAAAGGGTTCCTAGAATCACAGACAATTCCCTACTCTTCCTCAGGAAGGTAATGTCTTTTACAGTTGCTCCCTCCTTGATCAAGAAAGTACTTTTTTTTTTTTGAGGAGAGACCCTGCAATGCTAGAAAGCTGCTGTTAATAGAGCAGTTTCAGGCTTTAGATAAATGTTACAGTTCCAGAAAATAAAGTTTTCTCTTTTATCAAGTCTGAAAATCTCTGGTCTCTCTCAGTCAAACAAATGTTGAATTTCTATTCCTACCATCTTAAACCATTTCAGTGGGCTGGATTTCTAAGCAAAAACTCTTCCAGATGTCCAATCTGCTGTGATTCTCTATGGCATTTCTTACAAACAGGAAGAAGCAATGGGTAGTTCTACTTTGTGCTTTATATACAAGGTTCAGCTGTTGAGGAAGAAGCAGCCAATTATTACACCAAAAAAAACCAAAACAACAACAACAACAACAAAAAAAAACTAAAATCAAAGAAGGCTTCGCAAAGGAGAGAAGCTAGGAGTACTGCAGATCTGGACATGGCAGGACATCAGGAAGACTAAAAAGATTTTTTGTGGGAGAAAACCTGATGAAATAGTTGCTGAGGAGCAGAGAAGGAAAGGGAGAAATTCTGTGGGAGAAGGGCATGAAAAGAGCATCCTTTCAAGACCTTTTCCCCACCTCTGTCCCCTCTCTCAGCCCTTACATCACTAATGAGTCCATTCACCACAAACTCTTTGCAAAAAGAAGCAAAGAGGTTACATGAAACTGAGCATCAAAGCTCTTCCCCTGGGCCAGGAGGAATATCTAATGAAAAATATAATTAGGTCTCTGCTACTCTTCAATTTCTAAAAGCCACTGTCATTAATTTTGTTTCAGAGGACAAGCTGAAGCAATCAGAATGGCAAAGCACTTCAATCACCAGCAACACTGCAGTGAGCAAAGACAACTTAAGCCAATAAACAAGCCTGGCTGAGTGACTATGAACAACAAATGCTCCTTACAAGCAGCCAAACTGAAGATCATCAGGAAACTGTAAAATGAGATATGGGCATCATCATGTAAACCTCTCCTCTTTCTATCCTTCCCTACAAGGCATTGATCTGACACTGAAGTGTGGAATTCCCCAGAGACTTGAAAAATAATAACAGATAGCAGCTAATCAATGCCAAGCATGATAAAAACCAGATGAGGGAATCCCTGAGCAAAACAGCATCACACAACCATTAAAAAACAACTGTGCTGGAAACTGCTCTTCTTTCCAGCTTTTCTTAGCTCCTGTTCCAACCCTTCTTGCCTGAAATCCTACAGACAGGGTACAAAATGCTATGCCAGATCATATTAACCCAGTGATCTGAACCTGTCAATGGCAACCTATAGGTAGATGGTCCATGGATATTTAGAAATCGCAAGATACTAAACCCACCTCAGAAAATTTTCTCGTTTCCAGAAGCTAGTTAAAACCATGTATTTATGTCTCTTTTGCTGTTCTTCTTTCCATCCCATTTTTCTGGATTCAACCAAAGGGTACGATAGCCTAAAGAAGTGCCTACAAAACCCACTCTACAGGATAACTTCCAGCAAACTGAAACCTCCTACCCCAGACCTAATCTCCCTTGAACACTTCTTGTTTGTGGGTTCAAGTGAGAAACTCTACACAGCTGAATGTCAAGATGCACAGGAGTTTTCCTTCCCCGTGTACTTCTCAAATCCTCCCTCTTCACAGCAACATTGCACCTGTCCCAGTACAGTACCCCTGGCGCCTTCAATTAATGCTGAGAAAATCCTGAGTTAAGTGCCTACTTAAATTTGATGGCTTTGCCATTCAAATGATGGTCTGTCAGCCTAATAAAAGCACCAGTTAGTAAACAACATTACTGCATGAACACTGGCAGAATTATGAGCAACTGCAAGCTGCAATTAATTTGACCTTAGCTACCATGCCCACACAACTAGTGATGCTAATGCTATGATTTTATTTCAGATCAATGTAAACAGCAACAAATCAACATTCCTGCCATTTCTCCAAAGAGGAATCAAAACTACCCAGTGCAGCTAGGGGAATTTGCAATTGAACAGATGCAAACTACTTCATAGCCCTGAGGAAAATGGAATTCATTCACCAATGTGTAGCTTGAGCTAAGCTAATCCGAGTTGCATATCCAGTTCTCGAAGAGCTTTGAGTAGCAATCAATCTTCCTGCATTCACCAAGTGATTTGTTAATCTGCAGTTTTCATAACATAATAAAGAACATATGGATTAACCAGCTATTGTTCATAGCAGCCTGATGAGCTTCTTAGAGTCTCTTGGTTACTTACTGAGTATAACAGTATCCAATGCAGTGAAACAAACTGGGCAGTATGGATTACATCATGTTCTACCATCTGGAAAGCATTACAATATAATCACTAATACTGTGAAGCCTCCTGAATCCGTTCTTCATTTATAATGCGACTGTTTGAGTTCCAGAAAGAGCATCTGAAGAGTGATTTGTAAAATATGTTACCAAAATCCTAAGTAGGATATTGTTCTTAATAAAAACCATACCTAAGTACAAACTCGATTTTCAGCTTATATCCTTAACCAATTATGTACCAATGTATATCTCCACT